AGTCACTTAAGTCACTTAATCATGCAGATTTATGCTACAAGCTCTGTGTAGAATTGTACAGTAAGAAAGTTAACCAGGAAAACCAGGAAATTAACGTTCTTAGAATTGACAGACAGTTGACCCTGAGAGGTTCATCGGATTTCCCCTGCTCAGGGAGTAGGGAGCAATGGACACTGTGTAGGGACCATGTCAATCGGAACACAGTTCATGCACGGAGCTCACTTCTAACGAGATGATCTGAATCAGGTGTGTTAACAAAGAGAGACGTGCAAAACATGCAGAGCGGGGGTACGCGAGGACTGGAATTGAGAACCGCTGGTCTAGAACAATTCTTACAAGTATAACACAACGTAGCTGGGCGCCGCGGGACAGATGCCGAACGGCGCCGCCGGTGTGCCTACACTCATAGCAAATAATGTATTTGAATTTTAAAGACGTGGCGTGACGCTGCGCTTCTCGTCCGGTGTGCGACCGCCTGAAATGCTGTTTTTTTTTCACCTCCATACCCAAACGTCTTTGTTTGGGCTTCCGAAAGCGGATGATGTCAGGAAACAGTGGTTGCAATTTATTTTTTAACTCTGTTCCTGAGCATTATAACCCCAATTTGCTATTGTGTGCTGCGCATTTTACTGAGGACAGCTTCTACAACATGAGTGAGTAGTGCCGGATTCGCCCAAAAGCTTTTGTTGAAAGACGGAGCAAGGGGCGGGGCAGTACTGAAACACCGTCTAAGCTGTTCGCCAATCACAACGCACTCAGTAATGAAACACTGTCTAAGCTGTTCGCCAATCACAGCGCACTGGGACAGCTAACCAATCACAACACATTTCGTTTTTTTCGAAAGGCGGGCCTTCATTAAAACCCAGAACTAATCGAGCCGTTTGTGCCAGCCTGGGGAGAAAGGTATTTTAATAATGTAAATGATGTGAAAAATAATGTGTTTTTCGAACCACCAAGCATGAGAGCATGTTCTTGTACACCCCCAAAACAAAATCAAGACTTTGTAAAAGAGCATAATAGGACCCCTTTAAGACAAATATCAATTATGTATTTAATCCCATTTTATTAACCAATGTCTTTGCTACTGACCGTCGATGATCTAATTCAACCATACTAATCAGCAAAAATGACACATTTGTTTCATTTTTGTTATTGCTGAATAGTGTTGAACTTTCTTCTCTTGCGTAATATTTTTCATGCAATTTGTTTGAGCTGTGCCCTCTGCTGTACAGACGTGAATTTACATTTCCTTCAGCCTGCGGTGTATTCATTTCACTTCTGTTGTGAAAAGGGCTTTTACATTTGTAAAAGAAGAACTTTTTTTATTAAAAACAAACAAGCAAGCCCTGCCCAGATTTAAAAAGTAACTCAAAAGTAACGTAATTAGTTACTTTTTTAGGGAGTAATGCAATATTGTAATGCATTACTTTTAAAAGTAACTTTCCCCAACACTGGTGATAACTGCATTCAGAGGGGTTGCATTCCAAGTCTTTGCACTGTTTATTAACAGAAAATCTTCTTAAATCATATTTAATAGATGTGCCTCAAGGATGCCAGATACCTGAAAAGGTAATCAACTTAATTTTTCTTTTTGCTGTTTTTGGTAAACAGATAGTTTGAAACTTTATGTAAATTACTATATTTCCACTATTCTGCTACTCGGGCATTTTGCACATAATTAAACAACAATATTGATACCATATTGGTTATTGGGTGATATTACAGTTTTTACTATCACTTTTTGTTGTATTGGTGATATACAGTGGAGATCAAAATTAGAGAACAACCTACAATTTCCTAAATTTCTAGGCCACTGCTTAGTCCTATTTTAAGTTATCCTAACAGGAGTAGAACGGCAGTTCCCTCTCGAGAATGGTCTCTCGACATGGCGTCAGAACCTTCCTAAACCTACCTGAAATCTTATTGCGCAATGCCAGTGAAGTTGCAACTCTCACTGGCCAATGCCAGCTAAGACGGCAAATAGGGGCGGAGCCCCGCTGTTATATAATGAGCCGTCTTGGCGGCATAAGCCCAGAATCTTCCTCTTTCACGAAAATTCCTACTCAAGACAGCTGTGGAGAAGACACAAGAAGAAGGATTTCCCTCTCGGCGTTCCAGCATGTCGAAAGCTTGCACGCTGTGTTCAGGGCCTATCGAGGCCCCGGACACCCACAAATTCTACGTCCTGTGCCTGGGTCTCGCCCATGCGGAGGTAGCATTCGCAGGGTCGGGCTGCCCGCACTACGAGGAATTCTCAGTACGGGTGCTTAGGGCCCGGAGGAACATCGCCCTCTGTGATTTCTCTCGGCAATGTCCCACTGCCGCCAGCGAGCATCTGGTGGGACCACAGCCACACGTGGGCGAACACGCTGAAAGGCGCGTTTCACCCCCCTGCTCTCCGGTGTTTTTTGCCCTGGTGCTTCGGAGGTCATTTCATTCGGCATGGCGGGGGACGGCGATCTCGATGAGGTTATGTCTCTGACGGCGTCCGAGAACGACTGGGCCCACACTCCGAAGGAGCGCTCTGAAGTGGAGGGATACACCGCATTTCAGGACGAGCTCGTCCGGATTCTCACCAGGGCCGTGAGTGATCTAGGTCTGGAGAGGGAATCCCCCGACGAACCAGCTAAGAGCAAGCTGGATTCGTGGTTCCTTCACTCGAGCTGCCGCTCCGAGGAAGCGAGCCCCATTTCTCCCCGACCTGCACGACGAGGTCGCTAAGGCGTGGGCTGCGCCCCAGTCGGCTTGCACCCATGCCGGCGGGTCGGAGATATTCACCAAAGTCGATGGGGCAGAAGCCCGTGGATATACGCGCATTCCGCCTGTCAAGGAATCCATCGCAGTGCACCTCTGTTCCTCGTCTGCCTCTCTGAAGGCGGGTGCTTCGCTTCCAATGAGGCCTTGCCGTCTGACCACTCACATCGCGGACAAGGCGCACGCCGCCTCAGGGGAAGCGATCTCAGCGCTTCACACAATGGTGGTGCTCCAAGTTTTTCAGGCACAGCTCCTGAAATTCCTGGACGAGGGTGGAGCGGATCCCGAGGCCTTTAAGGATCTTCGCGCGGCGACGGATTTCGCACTAAAGGCCATGAAGAAGACAGCCCAGGCGATCGGACGAAGCATGGGCTACATGGTGGTGCTCCACCATCATCTGTGGCTGACGCTCATGGAGCTGAAAGACGCAGACAGGAAGGCACTGCTCAATGCTCCTTTGTCTCCATCCGGCCAGAGAGCGGGTTCTACAACCGCTACTTTGTCATTCCAAAGAAAGATAGAGTCTCCGTCTGAAAGACCTAGACCTGAGACCTATCAACCGTGCATTATACAAATGCGCTTTCAAAATGACAACGCTGAAACAGATCCTCGCACAGATTCGGCCCGAAGATTGGTTTATTTCAGTGGACCTGAAGGATGCATATTTTCATATCCAGATCGCCCCTCAACACAGGCGCTTTCTGAGATTTGCATTCGAAGGCACAGCATGTCAGTTCACGGTGATGCCGTTCGGGCTAGCGCTGGCGCCACGCACGTTTACAAAATGTGTGGATGTGGCGCTTTCCCCTCTGAGAGCGAGCGGAATGCGCATCTTGAATTATTTGGACGATTGGCTGGTTTTGGCCCATTCCGAGAATGTGCTCAACAGCCACAAACGCGCTCTGTTACTTCATCTGGAAAGTTTAGGTCTCTGCGTGAACATACAAAACAGCACGTTATGCCCCAGCCAGTCATTGACGTATCTAGGGGTGCAATTGGACTTGGTCTCGATGAGGGCACGTCTGGGTCAGGAGCGCATACGAGATTTAATGTCCGCTCTGAATACTTTCAGTCTGGGACGTCCTGTGGCACTGAAGGAATATCAGAGGCTCTTGGGACAGATGGCGGTGGCCGTGTCGGTGTGTCTCGGTCAATTCCTCACAGAGAATGGAGACTGAACCCCGAGACAGTGAGACTGATATGGGAACGGTTCGGGAAGGCGGAGGTAGATTTATTCGCGACAGAGGAGAACACGCATTGCCCACTGTTCTTCTCTCTGTCACGCTCACCCCTGGGCGGGGACGCACTCACGATGCCGTGGCCGAAGGCCCACCTGTATGCATTTGAAGATTGTGTCACAGGTGCTGCACAAAATCAGAGATAGCGTCGGTGTTATTAATCGCTCCGTACTGGCCGAACCGGCCTTGGTTTCCCGATGTGCTGGAGATATTAGCGGCTCCCCCTTGGCTGATCCCTCTGAGACGGGACCTCCTATCTCAGGCGGGCAGCTCGATATGGCACCCCAACCCCGAATGGTGGAAACTTCATGTGTGGATGGTGTGCGGGAACCGGTAAACTCTGACTCATTGTCTCGCCACGTGATGGACACGATAACGGAGGCGCGAGCCCCTTCTACGAGATGCCTGTATGCTCTTAAATGGGCAGTGTTTGTGAAATGGTGTGAATCGAATGGTCATGACCCGGAGAGCTCTCCCATGTCTGACATTCTGGATTTTTTGCAACAGCGGCTGGACGGCAGTATGCCTTCCACTCGTAAGGTTTATGTTGCAGCTATCTCAGCATTTCATGCCACTATCGACGGGCACTCGGTGGGCAGACATGATCTCGTGATCAGATTTTTGAGAGGTGCGAGATGGCTAAGACCCTCTCGTCCTCCCACTGTGCCATCCTGGGATCTGGCTCTGGTGCTGGGGGCGCTGGCCCTTCCGCCCTTCGAGCAGCTTCTGTCTGTCGGATTGAGAGAGCTATCGCTTAAAACCGCACTGTTGCTCGCCCTTGCTTCGGTCAAATGTGTGGGGGATTTACAAGCGTTTTCTGTAAATGCTGACTGCATGCAGTTTGAACCAGGTGATTGTAACGTTACGCTCAAGCCAAGATTGGGCTACGTGCCTAAATCGCTCTCGACACTGTTCAGAGCGCAAGTGGTGACGCTTTCTGCTTTCACTCCTTTTTCACACCTCATCAGATGCCGCCCTCATCAGGTGCTATGTCCGGTGTGGGCTCTGCGAGTTTACGTCGACCGCACGGCTCAGTTTCTGCAATCTGAGCAGCTGTTTGTGTGCTTTGGAGGCAGCACCAAGGGGCAGCAGGTCTCCAAACAACAACTATCACATTGGGTGGTAGATGCGATTGCCTTGGCCTATTCTAACCGGGGTATGGAATGTCCTATTGGTGTCAGAGCCCATTCGACAAGGGCAATAGCCTCCTCGTGGGCGTGAACTAAGGGCGTTTCTATCAAAGACATTTGTATGGCGGCTGGATGGTCTTCGCAGAGTACCTTCACCAGATTCTAAAATTTGGACGTGCTGCCGTGTTCACTCCTCAGGTCTACTGTGCTGTTGATTCAGTCGGAAGATTCTGGGCTTATGCCGCCAAGACAGCTCATTATATAGCAAAGGGGCTCCGCCCCTATTTGCCGTCTTGGCTGGCATTGGCCAGTGAGAGTTGCAACTTCACTGCTGTTGTGCAATAAGATTTCAGGTAGGTTTAGGAAGGAAAGGAGTCCCCAAAAGCGTCAGCTTCTGATGCCATGTCTTGTTCCCGTCTCTCAGGGAACCGAGGTTACAACCGTAACCGGAGACGTTTCTTAAGCATATTTTATAAATTAATTGTATTCTGAAGCACAGTGTAAAAAAACTTAAGTGGCATATTTGGAAAAAGAACTGATCAAAATTAGAGAACACTTACAGATATAAGTTATTGGTGTTAATCTGGCACCTGGTGCTAATTTCCTTAATTATATGACAAACCCTACTTAACTGGCACCATTCCAGTTCAGTGCTCAACAGGGTAAGAATCTGTCTCGGCATGTTTAAGAGAAGTCGGACTGAAAACGCACTCTGAAGTGACGAAGCCCTTTTTCTTTCAGCAAAAAGAATCAAAAGGCTATACTAACCTCTGCTGAGAAGCATGTTGTGTGGACAGAGGAGAACTGGTCCAAAGTTCACTTTAGTGATAAGAGCAAGTTTAATTTATTTGGGTCTGATGGGAAACATTATGTTCGGCGTCAAACTCGAGGAAAGACTGAACCAGTTAAAGACTGAGTCAGTGAAAGGTGGAGGAGGAAGTGTCATGCTTTGGGGGATGTTTTCTGCAGCAGAAGTTGGGTCTCTTATACAGCTACATGGCAGGGTGAATGCAAATGTTTATCAGAACCTCCTTCAGCAACATGCAGTACGTTCCCTGCAAGCATCTCCCAATCAGCCTGCAATTTTCATGCAAGACAATGCGCCGTCACACTGCAAAACGGATAAAACAGTTCCTTGAAGCTAAGAACACTGAAGTGGTCAGCCCAGAGATCTAAACCCAACAAATCTAAACTAAATTAAATCTCTGGAAAATCAACAAAGTTATGGCTCAGAAACCCACTACAGTTACCAAACTGTGGAAGAAGAGTGGACCAAGATCACACCAGCAATGTCTGAGAAAATAGTGGTGTCCTGTGGCCGCAGATGTGCTGAAGTCATTCAAAGCAGGAGCCTCTACAATTCCTACTAATTTCTGACAACTGTAACCCTCCAAGATTTTAGTTGTAATCATCTTTCGTGCTACAGTGGTTACCGTTCTCTAATTTTGATTACTGTTTTTCACAAAATAAAGGTTTTTGTTGAAATGCCTTGGTTATTTTGTCACACATGTTTGTATAACGGTGCTTAATATTCACAGCTAATATTCCTTCAAATTTTGAACAATGAAGATTAACAATATTTCAGAAAAACCAAGTGTTTATAGATTGTCTAATTATGATCTCCACGGTGTGTGTGTGTGTGTGTGTGTATATATATATATGTACTTCTTGTGTGTGTGTTTGTGTCATTTTGGATATTTAATATTTAATTGTGCATGCTCATTTCCCCTATTTTTATTTTTTAAATGACCTTTTGCAGTCATCTAACACTCGATTAAATTTAATCTTTAAAAGCTAATTAGTAATAATTTAGTATCATTGTTAAATGTAACATTTAGCAAATTGCAAAATGAATATCCATGTTTTTCATACTATGCATTATAGATATCGTTTTTATACCTAAATTCACTTGTAGTTTTGAGATTAGTTTTTAGTTTTATGCTTTTCTCTTTTTCTTCTGTATATAAACATAACACTGTAAATAAAGAGTAGTTTTATCAGCTAACTTGTTCTTTTGTAATGTGTTATTTCAAAAAATAATGTTTTGTAATTTACACTATAGATCAGTCCGGACCCGCCTACATTTCGTATTTCAAGAGCTCTAATTATATTTCCTACTTTGATAAACGTAAAACTTTGTTAAACTTGTAAATCATTTGTTTAGTTTTTTTTTTAAATGTATTTTTGGAGATGGTCCGAAATGAAAGCGCAGGCGAGATATTCAAACTTTTCCTTCATGGCATTTGTTGTCATGACATCCAGTGAGCGTATGATGCTTGACATAATCGGGCCACATTTTACCGCTCAGGGGCGTAACGTCTGGGTATGCAGGGTATGCAGGTGCATATGGGCCGGGGCAGATTGGTGGCCCGCCGAGCCGAGGGGGAACTTTTAATTGAAACGAGGGAACGAATAGAGCCATATGTTTGATCAGTTTAGCCTTCTCAAATCAACACAACTTGCCTAAAATAAAATCTATACATATAGGCTGAAACACTTAATGCATTTCACAGTATTAATTTAAACATTTAACCTTAGATAAATGTGCGCTATTAGATGCATATCCAATCATTTGTGCGGAGAGTGGAAGCTGAAGCGCGCTGTTCTGGACATGGAGGCGCCAGCGCGATCACTTGCATTTTTTTTTTGTAAGAGTGGAAACTTAAAATACACCGTCATTTTTGCTCATACAGATAAGACTAATACATCATTCAGAAGTTACACTTTTATTTGTGTGTACTCACAATATCAACAAAACGTTGTGCTTTTGTAAAATAAGGAAAACAAACAGGATGAGCTTTCTGCCGTCTTGGTCTTGAGCAGGAGCGCTTCACAAAAATGAACCGAAACTCAGCGAATACTTGCCTCACAGACATGATAAATATATCTATAGAAAGCTTTAAATTACTACTTTTGACTGAAATAATTCAAATCAAAGAAAAAAACTCTTTCATTATGTAATCCGTAAAAATGCATTTCTCTCTAAAGGTGCGTCCAATGAGGAGATGGCGAGTCAGGATCATCAACTTCATCTTTGCGACATTGACTCAGAAAACACTAGTTTATTAATAAATAATTCAAATATCTCCTTACTATTTTTTATTTTTTTTAAACTTTTTTTTCTTTGTTTGTTTGTTTGTTTGTTTTTTGGGCCGCTGTGCCAAGATTGTGTTTGCATGCAGTACAAATAGTCTACGGTGGCATTTGTGCCACTTTGAAAAACAAATAACTAAAATAAGTAAGATTAATGTCATAATATTTTAAGAATAAACTCAAAATTACGATAATAAAATCATGTTATATTGCATGAAGTTAATGTGAAAATTACTTTTTTTCACATTAGGATTTTTAGACATTTATTCAGGGCCTGAATTTCATTTTTGAAAATGGGGGGAATTCCCCTCTTAGGTGACTCTTGTGAGAGGAGAAGCAGCACGGACTGTGATTTCACACAGGAGTCCACTACTGATCCGTGGCTGTTTACCACAAACACAACATTTATCCATTATTTTGATTTCAAA